ATCCCGCCTGCGCAAGGACACCCCCACTCCACATAAGTCTCTGCACACAGGACACGCCCACTTCAGATACAGTCTCTGCACACAGGACACGCCCACTTCAAATACAGTCTCTGCACACAGGACACGCCCACTTCATAGTCTCAGCACACAGGACACGCCCACTTCACATACAGTCTGTGCAAGGACGCGCCCCCTTCACATAAGTCTCTGCACACAGGACACGCCCACTTCACATACAGTCTGTGCACAGGACACGCCCACTTCACATAAGTCTGTGCACACAGGACACGCCCACTTCACATACAGTCTGTGCACACAGGACACGCCCACTTCATAAGTCTGCACACAGGACACGCCCACTTCATTCAGTCTCTACACACCGGACACGCCCACTCCATACAGTCGCTGCACAAGGACACGCCCACTTCACATACATTCTCTGCACACAGGACACGCCCACTTCACATAAGTCTGCACACAGGACACGCCCACTTCATACAGTAGCTGCACAAGGACACACCCACTTCACATACATTCTCTGCACACAGGACACGCCCACTTCACATAGTCTCTGCACACAAGACACGCCCACTTCACATACAGTCTCTGCACACAGGACACGCCCACTTCACATACAGTCTCTGCACACAGGACACGCCCACTTCACATACAGTCTCTGCACACAGGACACGCCCACTTCACATACAGTCTCTGCACACAGGACACGCCCACTTCACATACAGTCTCTGCACACAGGACACGCCCACTTCACATACAGTCTGTGCACAGGACACGCCCACTTCACATACAGTCTCTGCACACAGGACACGCCCACTTCATACAGTCTCAGCACACAGGACACGCCCACTTCACATACAGTCTGTGCACAGGACACGCCCACTTCACATAAGTCTGTGCACACAGGACACGCCCACTTCATTCAGTCTCTACACACCGGACACGCCCACTCCATACAGTCGCTGTGCAAGGACACGCCCACTTCACATAAGTCTGCACACAGGACACGCCCACTTCACATACATTCTCTGCACACAGGACACGCCCACTTCACATACAGTCTGTGCACACAGGACACGCCCACTTCATACAGTCGCTGCGCAAGGACACGCCCACTTCATACAGTCTCTGCACTTCCCCCTCCCCCCCCATATTCAGGTGTATTGGGGAGGGTGTGAAGAGTTAAATGTTGTCCGGGGCCCTCAGGATATCCTCCGGGGCCCCAGCACAGCTCAGCTCGTCCCTCCAGGAAATGTACAAATAACCCGACGCATCACATGACCGCCGTACAGAGCGACGAGGATCCCAATCTACAAAGAGGACCCGTCACCCCCAACATCATACGAAACACGCGTGCTGGTCTCCAGCCGCCTCTTCACAGCCACTTCCTGTCTACATGACCCCAATGGAGGAAGTTCATCTCTTATTTCCAGAGCACCCCCCCCCCCCCCCCCCCCCACTAAACTATCCCTCACCG